ACGTGTATCGAATCGACTTGTATCGAAACGACTTTGAAACGAAAAAGAAGTACACTGCAGGAGTTAGAATACATGGACATGCAAAGTATGTTTACTGAAGTAGACTTTCTAAATTAAACTAGCTTTTTACTCCAAGAAACTCGTGGAGTAAAATTTACATGTATGTATGGGGTTAACAGTCTCCAACCGAACAGAACACTGGCTTTTTTTTCCCTCAGTAGGCGGCAAACATCCTAGATTTCCATCTTCTAATTCGGTGGCTACGCAAGGTTTACGGTCGTTCAGTTGCAAAGTCAATCTGAATTATACAATGTTCCTTTCACCTCTCATTATTTACCTTTTTTGTGTGCACATGTATACTGTTTGTTTGATTCAGAAAAAAACAGTATGCATTCTCAGTAACCTACATGTACGCTTAATCAAACAAGAAGTTTAACTGTGGAATAATTGTCTGGTGTTTGTGTAAAACATTCACTTAACTCTATGTCAGTTAAAAGGTAACTTCCCCCAGGAGATCACACAAAACATGCTAACTTCCTTTGCACTGTTTCCTAAATTTACATCTCCAAATGCTATGTTTTTTCTGCACTTTCCTAATAATTTCAGACACATTTCTTCATTTTCAGCAATTAATACAGATTTCCCCAGGTTGATCCTTGCCAAAAACAGATTTCTTGTGAAACATTTGTATACTTACAAGTTACGTCCACATGCACTGAACGGGTCACTGCATTTCCAAATCCATTGTAAGCTGTACAACGATACGTTCCATTCGCGTTCCTTTCTATGTTTCTGATAAACCAAGGGTTCCCATCAAACATTTTCTCTCCATCACTCCTATCATCCAATACTCTTGTCCAGGTAATATTGGCAGTTGGTTTACCAGTTGTGTCACAGAACAAAGTAAGATCAGAATTCTCCTTTACAGCTTTGTTTGCACTGTAATTTATAATCCGGGTTGGCTCTAATATTGGAACAAAGAGACAGCACATCTTCAGTGACCTTATTGTTCATCATGTGTACAAGTATCATTATCTAGGGTAGGAGTAAACCAAAAGAATGATGATAACCCTGCAGCAGATACGTGTAGTCTTACACTGTATCTTTCAATGCCTAAATGGATAAAAAGTGAGATAAATGACTGCAATCACTGAGGTCAAAACGAAAAGTAAGTTACAAATTCATGGAGGCGTATTAGAAAACATTGCAAAAATGGCCTGATCATTTTGTTTCTTGAGCACAATTGACGACACTTGTGAAGAAAATCTGCAGAACAAAAAGTCAGTCATCTGCTGGCAACCATCTGTAAATTCTGTTCTTCCACAGGTCTCATTACTATAGTGGACCTTGCCATACCAATGACTACACTGTGATCACA